GCCCCCTCGCGCGGCGCGCTCCGGCACCGCCGCGACGCCGCCGACACGCCCTCCAGCCAGTCCAGCCCCTTCAGCAGCCCGCCGCAGGTGAGCGCGTAGCAAACGCGTACTTGGCGTTCGCTCGCGACTTTGCGCTTCCGTTGGCGCAGATTCACTCTTTTGATGGATGGAGAGAGGTAATAACGGACGCTACCGCCCCGTTTCCGCAGGGGCCCAGCGTGGGGGCCAGTTCCGCCAGTTCTTCCGAGGACCTTCTGGCCAACTGGCAGCGGGTGTTTGTGGACAAGGTGATGCCCTCTGCGGTGGGCGGGGCCCCATCCAGGGCGGAGTACTCGGACGGCGAGGAGGGCTCCACCCCGAGCCACGCCTCCAGCCTGGACACCGACACGGACGCCGAGCCCCGCGCCTACGCCGGGGGCCTGTACGGCGCCGGGGAGCGCCTCCTGATCGACCCGGACCGAGACGGCGGGAGTGGCCGCGCGGCGCTCGATTTGATGACGCCGCCGCGCCGCCGGGACGAGGACGAGGAGGAGGAGGAGGCCGAGGAGCCGGGTCACCTCGTCCGGGACTTGCCCGTCATTTCGCCCCACCTCATGGACTTGGACCCCGCCTTTGCGGCGGCTGCGCTGCCGCGACCTCACAGGAGCCCCAAGAGGATGGGGGTGCACCACCTGCACAGACAACAACAATAACACGCAAGACCGCGTGTCCCGTACACAAACGCACTCGCAAGCAGGATACAGCCATAAGCTCTATTTGGAAGAAAAGCAAAACGCCATCCTCTCGGTGCCTCGGCGACACGCAACATGACTTTCATGTCCAAGGAAGTTGCCTTGTCTTTGGTTCGGTGTCGACGCCATTGCCGCGCCGGCCGACACGATGTCCCATATGCCATCGAAACCACGGCGCGGCCCCAAATTGCCGAGGAGCGTTCCTTTGCTTTTAGCCGTGCGAGTACGGCGGCACGTAAGCCGCGCGAGCCTTTAGAACGTCGGCGCCGACTGTTTTCTACAAGACCATCGATTGTTGCTCGTGTCCCAACACCTTTTTTTGTTTTCTGCTTTCTTTTTTGGTGACGTTGCCGATTGTGACCGGCCGCCGCGGCCAACCGTTTGTACAACTTCCGTCGGTTCAGTATCGATGCCGTCGATCGTCGACGTGCGATCGGACGGATCGGGCTTTGCCGATGTTCCGTCAGCACGCGATGGCCGGCCTTTGAGAAGAAAGGCTTTTTGCGGGCTGCGCGCGAGGCGGAGGCAAAGTTTGCCGGCGCGTCTGCCAACAGCAGGACCCGTTTGCGCCGAGTCCAAATAGATTTGATGTGGATCGACTCGGCAGCACTTGTCCTTTTCTTAGCGCGCATCCCGGCGGCGCCGCCGGGTCGCGCTTGACTTGGTTCGACGCGTTGAGCGTTTCAATCTTGGCATTCTGTTCCGAGCCTACGATGAAACGCTTTTGCTGACGTGTAGTCAAAGGTTTTGCTCGCTCTCTTCGACTTGTGAAATAAAAAGAGGAAAACTTGCTTTGAGCTCGCCCGACACGCCCCTCGCCGCTCACGAGACGCAAGGGACACTCGTCGCCCTTTTGTTCCCTTCCGACAACTTGTCGGTGAATTGTGTTAACCGATGCGCGGCCACTTGGCGTTTCCGTGCTCGCCGCGCCGACGTCGGGATGACTTTGGGTTGGACGAAACGTCAGCGGCTCGGAACACGGCCTCCTCGGCGACCGGTTCTCGCAGTCTGACCTTTGACGACGGTCGAGCACTTCAAGGTTCCCACCACACTTTGAATGATTTGTAAACTGATGCGTATTTTCAAATGGAAAAAAAGACTCATTGAACACCGTTGGGTTCATCTCGAAGTGTTCGGTGGAAAGACAGTCGACCTGTTGGAATGAGTTTGATTTTTGCCCCTCGTGTGATCAGAACCCGGCCTGATCGCGCAAGCGCCGCGTGCCCGCGTCGTCCATCGGACGCACGCAAAGTTTGATGCGGCGACGGTATTTGGGTTCAGGTCCAAATTCCGGTTTCGGAAACATTCAGACGAACCCGTTAACCGGCGCCGGGTGACGCAGAATGACTCGTGTACACGTGCCAATGGCCTAACCCCGTCCGAAGCACCACGCACTTGCGGCGGCATGACGCAAAGAGGCGGCGTTCCCAATTTTGCTCCCGGCTCCAAAAGTGCCGCGCGTCCGAATTTGGCCGCGTTTGTCTCCGCTTGTGTGTTTGCGGCAGGTTGCGTGCCAGACGCCGTGTACTCCAAAGCCCCGAGATTCCTTGCGGACGGATCACGTGCATGACGCAAAGCCCGGTTCCTTTCGACGAGAATATTCACCGTTGCGTACGTGACCAAATATTTGGGGTCGGAAAGACGAAGCCGGGTGTCTTCGGGTTTTTCAAAACGAGGCACTGTAAGCACAGTTGGGGGGGTTTCCAAGTGTTTCCATGGCTCCGCACAACCTACGTATTGTCAGTACTGCGGTGTTGGAAGGCCGGGCTGGAAGTAAACGTGACCGCTCACACACAAACGCGCACACAGCTTTGCCTTGAGGAATGCGGCGGCGGCCGCCTTTAATGTGGGAGCGCAAAGTGGAATTCAGTGAGGCGTTGCCGGGAAGAAGTGCTCGAGGATGGCGTCCACATCGTCCTGGCCGGCGTAGTCCGTCACCACCATCCGCTCGCCGTCCGCCGCCCCTCGGATCATGGCCGACAACTCTGCGACAGAAGGAAGGGAGCCGTCGCGCCTTCTCGCTCCTTTTCTCGCAAACGGACATTGAGAAAAGTCGAGCGCTCACTGCGTCCCGAAGACGGTCGAAAGAGACACAGGGTCCTCTTCCTCATCAGGTAGGCGTGGCCCAGCTCATAGCCCACGCCCAGCGAGGGTTGCGTCACCTCGGCGACGACGGCTGTGGGGCACGCGCGTCGACGTCAAGTCAGCGCTCGCGATCGCGCGGCCGAGAAAGACGGGCGCTTCTCACCGTCGGCTTGTCGGAGCCACTCCAGGTCCCGGTCGTGAATGGCTCTGTCGTCCGACTCCTCTCCTGGAAACGGGAAAAGCGCCGAGGTCACCGTTCGTCGGCAACTCGTTGAACTCGTCGACAACTATTTGGACAAGCGATTTGTTCGGAGACCTTGTTCATTTCAGATTTTCAAAGTCCTCAGATTTCGAACCTCTCAAATGGAGAATATTCCTCCATTTGAGAGTCTTCCATCGGAGCAGATGGATACAGTACAGTATAATCTTTGTGTTGAATCAAGATAAGGCATTTGCAGACATCTCCTTTCGTTGGGGAACCGTTTGAATGATCCAGGCATGGTTTTTAGTGGTACAGAGAATGAATGGCTGGCTGGCTGGCTGTTTGTTGCGTCCACGACCAACCGGGTAGCGGCTGGCAAACTTACAAACAAAGCCAAATTAGGAATTGTTTTCCCTCGCAGTGATAGTTGACCGAGCCCGTCCGCTGCTTAGCGGCCTTCCAATCGGACTTGGAAGTTCGACACAATCGCGAGGGCATACGGCTAAAACAAGCCGTCGAGCGGCGCTCTGAAACTTTGGCGCGCGACTGAATTTCTGCATTGGATTTCAAGTTCAACGCGAGACGTTGTTTTGGGCTTTCCCTCAATTCCGTCCATCCCACGTCCAAGATGGCGTACCTCTCACCGTGCGAACTCTGACCTGTGTGGCTGAGCTGACCGTCGCCCACGTGCTCCGTCAGAACCTTCCCGAACTTTCCGAGCGTCTCGACGATGTGCTCGTACAGGCGCGCGTCAGCCCTGCCGCCGCGGATACTTCCGCAGAAATAAATCTTCATCTTTCATCGACCCGAAGCGCGCGGGCAACAGTCGCAGCCCTCGCCCGCCCAGCTGCAGGCAGCGAGTGGCCGTGTGTCGTCACATCCGGCGTGAAGCCGGAGCCAAAAGCTTCGTCCAAATTGACATGCCGGCTCCTCTTTTTTCGTGTGCGCTTGTGCGCGCGCTGTAAACGCGCGTTCGTGTATTTACAGCGCTTCCATATTGCCAACATGTGATCAGACTTGAACTCCGGCTTCCGGGTGGAGTTTGCACGTTCTCCCCGCGCCCGCGTGGCTTTTCTGCAGGCGCTCCGTTTTCATCCCGCGTTCCAAAAACACGCATGGCGGCTAAACGGAACGCTCCAAATTGTCCGGAGGTGCGAGTGCCAGTGCGAGTGCGTTCTGCTTGTTTGTTTCTGTGTGCCCTGGGATTGGCTGGCAACCGGAGTGTACCCCGCCGACTGCGCGGAGACGGCCGGGTGGATGGATGAATTGGGCAAACGAGGCCATCTGCTGCTGTTCTGTCGTCACTGCACGTACGACGGTCGCAAGGGATTGTGGGAATGAATGCCCATCGCGATGGCGGATTCGGAGAAAGCGACGTAGACAAGCTATTGTACGCTCAGTGACTAAATCCATTCACGTGCAGCGAGCCTCACTGAGTTGTCTTGTGAGTGTTGTTGAGTAAAGTCGCTGCCTTGAGTCCGATGAATGGTTGACATGTTTTTTTCCCCCCTCAATTGTTTAAGTGTTTCATGGAAATACCTCCTGTTTCCACGTTGCCGTCTTTTTCGAGAGAAAGAAGGCCGTTTGCTCACGTAGATGAAGCAACTGCCGTCGCGCTAACCTCGGTCAGCTCCTGTGATTTGATTTCTTTGAAGACATCACCGAGGTCACACGAGGCAGGTTCACGGAACACTCCCAACTGTCCGTCAGTACGAGTGCAAGCGTTCGTCTGTGTATGGGGTGCCCTGGGATTGGATGGCAACCAGTTCGGGGTGGGAAGACAGCTGGGATAGGCCGGCCGCTGCATGACCCCCGCGACCCCCGTGAGGATAAAGCGCTTTGGATAATGGATGGAAGAAAGAAGAAACTCTTCTTGTTTGGCACAATTCTGTTTGTGTGTGCTCTTTGATTTTTTTTTTTTGAATGAATGAATGAACAAGTGCTTTTTGTATTACTATGAGAAGGTGTGTGTGTGTGGGGCAGTAATTAGGTTGCTATTCTCTCAAATGCATTTGGCACACTGAAACTGTTTTGCTCTTATTTTGCAAAGTACTGAATGATCTTTTCCGTTTCCTGTTTTGCTGTACTGTCCCACAGATAATGCGCTTAAAATCCGGTGTGGGTGAACCATGGTCATCGTTTTGTGGTTTTGGGAGCAGTCACAAGACACCCCACCCCTATGGCATTCCCCCTCCCCCTAACACACACACACACACACACAAAAGTGTCGGGGGGGCAAAATGATCTATTTTGGTCCAAAGCAGCACCAACTAGCCTAATTCCACGGCACAAAGACAACCGTATCCACGAACAGAGAGGAGGAGCAGAGGGGCGGGTGACGTGCGCGGGTCACATGGCGAGGGCAGCGGTGCTGTTGATCCTCACTTGCTCCACGTCTCTGGCCACCCGCTGCATGGCGGCGAGGTTGGATCCTTCCAGGGAGTCCAGAAGGCCTGAACGTGCACAGATGGGACAGCGCCACGGTGGGTGAGACGTGTTCCATTCGCACCAGAAGAACTTTGCGAAAGCGGACATCTTAAACGCCATGCGAAGGGGAAAGCGTGAGCTGCCAAAGTCAGACGGACTGCCGCCGCGGTCGCCGTCGCTGTCGAGCGACCTCCAACCGCTGCGGCTAAAAACCCTCAAACTGCGGCTCAAGTGAGACTTTCCATTCCCGCCCTGCTGCCGGAGAGCTCTCGCCGAAGCAAACGGGATGCGCTGCGTGCGCTCGTGACAATTTTTAGCATGAATCAAGGTTGCATCCATTCGTACGTATGAAAAGAAAGGGCAATTTTCAATCACGAAAGACGAAGACTGAAATGGGGTTTGGGCTGCAAGTCAGTCTGACACCATCTCCACCTTCCCCGTATGAGCGACCGCCTTCAATTTGGTCAATTTCCGGCTTGAAAGTCGGAAGCGTCAAAGCCTACCTTCCACCATCTTGTGGTAAGCAAAGTGAAGGTAGAGCAGGAAGAGCATGTGCAGCGCGGACGCCGTCGCGCACAGCAGCAGGCGAGGAGTCGCGCCCACCGTGCGAGACAGCAGAGCCGACACCTGAAAGACAAAAGGCACTCAGGCCGCGGCCCGCGACGCCGCGGCAGACGCAAAAGCGCCGTCACCATGCGCAGGGTGGACAGTCCTCCCAGCAGCAGCCACAGGGTGTAGAAGAGCAGGTGGACGTGCACGTTGTAGCTCACCAGGAGAACCGCGCAGTGGCCGAACAAGCCGTAGCCCTGACAGGACGACACCGGGCAAAGGCTTGACAAGGTATCGCGACTGTGCGTGAGGACGAGGCAAAAGTCCACGACAACAACCGCGTATGGGACACAACAACTCAAAGGACACCCCGAACCAAAAGTGTGTGTGTGTGTGTGTGTGTGTGTGTACGTACGAGCAGGGAGAGCGTTTGCAACAAGGTGATCTGAGCATTGAGCAGATACGCCAGGAAGTAGATCAAAGACGACACTCCCAGCCAGTACCCGAAACACGTTCCGATCGCCGTTCCCATCAGAGTGCCCTCCCTCTGGACAGGCAGGTGCGCGCGTGCGCACACGCAACGTCATCATGCTGTCATTGCTTAGTGCGCGCGCGTGCGTGCGTGTGTGTGTGTGTGTGCGCTCTCACGATGACGGTCCCGGATGTCTTCATGCCGTGCAACAAGATGGCAACCAGCGTGAAAACCAGCATGAGCGGCCCATACAGCTCACCTGCAATCTTCTACACACGCGCGCAACGTGTGAGGGCCGAGTGCTGAAAGCGAGACGGGAAGCGGGCGTACCTGAGGGAAGTTGATCATGCGGCCGGGAATCATGGACTCAATCAACCTGAAGGCGCACAACAATCGACTCGTATCCAACGGGAAGCCATGTCGGCGGCGGCGGCGGCGGCGGCGGCTCTCACCTGCCATCCACCTGCGCCGGCTCCACATCGAAGTAGGGCCTGAGGATGTCGATGTTGGCGTACAGGTTGAAGGCTCGGGACGCCTGGCGCTTTCCCACCTGCCACACCTGACGGATGAGCACACGAGCGACCACGCTGACACTTGGACTGGAGCGAGAGCGCCCGATCCGCCCGCAGGAGCCCCAGAAGGCGCAAAGAACAAAAGGGCGACGTGGACTCACTTCGTCCGCCACCTGCCTGCCCAGCTGGCCCTTGAAGCCCTTCATGCCCAAGAAGTCTCCGTCTTGGTCGTCGGCGTCCGCCGCCTCCGCCGCCACTTCCTCCTCTTCTTTCATCCGCTGATGCATCTCTCCCATGTCCTCGAAACTGGAGCCCGACGTGTCGTCCATGTTTTCCATGTCGATGACCGCCGAACCGCCGCCGCCCTGCGCGCCAAAGCCGCGTACGTGTCACTCCGGAGAAGGCCGAGTCGTTCGGAGGCCACCTCGTCGGCGGTCCGGAAGCGGGCGCGCGCGCGCGCGCGAGGACGGAGAGAATGCGGGCGAGCTTTCCGGCGAGCTTTCCGGCGGCTAACCTACCTGGACGACGGGCTCGTCGAAGCTCCCCCACGGTTCGGCGCTGGCGCGCCCGGGGCCCGCAGACATGTTGTGCGGAGGCCGTCTCGGACTTCGCGAGCGACTTGTGTCCGAGTGGCGGCCGTCGCCGTCTCGAGAGCTCGTCGGTGCTTGGGATCTACAGGAAAGCCCTCAAACGCGCACGGGTCGGGATCTGATATCGGCCCAGAACCGCGCACGGCAAAACATCCGCTCGGGTTTTCCACACGGCGGAAGGAAACGAGCGCCCGACTCCGCCCACGCGGAGGCGTGAGCGATCGACGTCTGTGACGTCACGCGCCCGAGACTCGGCCTCGTCCGTCGAGAGGGGGCGACCGCGTTTATGGCGTCTTTCGTCTTCTTTCTTTTCTTTTCCTCCTGTCGCGAGCCCTCGCGCAGCGCGGTCTTTGAGCGAGCAACCCCCGAACGTGCGTGACGGTTCGAAATCCATCCCAATGGCAACTTATTCCCAGTCGGCCTTCTGAAAAGTGACGTCGTCTCCCGTCTTTCTTCGGTCTTCGGGGACCTCAAGGACCACCTGCGGGATTCTCCTGAAAAACATTGCAATTTCCGAACAATGGATGGATGATGCACAAGTGCTTGAAAGTGGCAGCGGTTGATAGAAGTTTTGCATCGGTGACGTTTTTCTCTCCTGATTATTGTGGGAAATCAGATGATCGGTGTCTTCGTGTGACTAGTTTTTCATGAGAACATCGGAGTCGCCTTTCCATTGAATAATAATCTTATTAGCCGTCATTCGGAAATGTAGTCGTACAAATAAATTCGGTGCTTTCAGAGAGGTGTGTTGGCGACCCCCGCTGTGCGTGTTCCGGACTCCCCTTTCACGTCTCCTTCTCAATTTCAGCGTTGGCTTTCATCCAGCGCCCCAACCTTTCCGCCTTGCTCATTTCGTTTCCTCTCCCCAAAACGCCGAGTCTCAACGCTCGGCTCCCCGTCTCTGGTCTCCCACCAGGTTAGGCGGTGATTTCATTTTCACAAACGCGCTATCCTATCGTCTTGGATCTGCTTTCTTTTTCTGTTTCGTTCACGCGTGGGTCCATTCTGACCGTTGCTCATCACGGCGCGCGTGCCTACGTCGATCGAGGGGTGGGGGGTGGCTGCTTGAAAAGCAGCTCTTGGGGAGCCCCGTACCGCGACCCCCACTTCAGCACAGTAGAGGGCGGTAATGATCGTGAAGCACTCGCTGCGACCTAACGGAGAAGGAAGAAGAAGAAGAAGCCCAGCCCAGCTGCCGAAGGACCTCCCTCGGTCCCTCTTCCTCGTCTTCATCCTCCGACGAGCTGGCGACCCAGCGGAGAGCGAAGCCAAACAGCGAGCGAGCAAGAGACGGAGGGATCCCCGCCTGACGGAAACGAGTCATCAAAGCACTTTGGCGCATTTGACACACCGAGGTCAGCCAAATCGTCAGGTGAGTCGGACTGTGTCGCGAATGGCGATTCCTTCCAAAATGGTGCCCTCCCTCGTCGACCTCCTCCGCCCGTTTGAGCTTCCGCGACGCCGACCTCGTCCCCGTCCTCGTCCTCGTCCTCGCGTGGACAGCGGGGGTGACAGCGCTCGGAACCGCTCGCCTATTTCTTGTCTCGGGACCACAACCGCTCAAACGTTTGTCGGCCGGGTGACGTCACGTCAAGGCCGCGCGGACGTGCGGGCCCGCGCGCGCTTATGGCGGCGGATCGATGTTGTTGTCGATGCGGACGTTCGATCCGCGCCGACGCGTTACCCGCTGAAAGAAGGCTTCGTAATCAACCGACGAGACTCGATGTCACCGGCGGGGTCGCTTGTCGGCTCACAGGAAATGCGCTGCGATTGATCGCAGCGGAAGGTCGTCCGTGTTCCAAAACAAGAAGAAAGCGCTCCTAACGCGTACATTGGTCGCGGTCGTGCTTGTAAACACGAAGGTGAAAGTCGCGAGGGTGTTTTGAGCCAAGAGCCTTATCAGCTGCGTGTTACCAGAAGATAAGAAATGGCCGTCGCCCTCGGGGCCACGCTCGCGTGTCGCTCGAAAAGGCCAACTCGACACAAACGCCCGCAATGGCTTCTTGTCTGCCTTCCGACAAGTTTTACTCGGACGAGACAAGCCGATACCCTCGCTCGCTGATCAAATTGACGGACAGCTGTTTGGAGCATCCGTTTAACGGACTGGAAATTCTCCCGACTGCTGCTGTGTTCTCAATGGTAAACATTGTCGCATTTCTCCAGTCCGAACCCTACATACAGGCAGTTTGCGAGTGAGATCGACTCACGCCGATTTCGATACCGATTAGCTCCACATTTCTCCATTTTCGACCTGCTCACCAATTATTATTTGAATACTTGATCAATCCGGAATTCTTTTTTGGATTAAAATAATCGGTGAATCGGAGTAAAAAGAACATTTGATCCGAATCCCATTCCCTTTGTTCTGCAAAACAGGACATTGCTTTAAAATGACAGAAAATGCGCAAACATATCGTGTTTCCTTTACTGCTCTGCTTTGTAAACATGTGCACGGTGTGTGCGTCCGACTTTGGTTAGCTTCCGTGTTGAATTCATGTAGAAATTTGAAAGAACTAGTCGAAGATGAATCGAAAGGAGCAAGCGAGCAAGCGCTGCGTGCCTTTGCGCAGCTTTGCTCGATGCCCAGTTGGTCTGGCTGCTCCGACACGCCACGAAATGACTGAGCGGAAGCGCGCCGCGTTTTTCCGCTCGCTGACCAGGATGCCGGCGGCAGGCAGCAAGCTTAAGCAGTGCCGGCTGGCTCAGGATCAGCTGGGGAAGGCGATCGACGGCGTGCTGAAGACGCAGCAGCTGCTGAGGGACAACGCCAGAGAGGTAAGAGGTCACCTTTCATATGGCCCTGGCAAAATAGCAGCGTCACCAAAATCCAACGTGAAGAAGAAACCAAAAGCTCCTTTGCCTATTTGCCTTGCGATAAAGGCAAATTCAGCCTCGGCTTTTGCTGATGTTTGGGGTTTCGGAGATTTGCTTTACATCGGGGGATACCAAACAAGGTTTCAACCTCTTGTTTTTTTGCTCCATACATAACCTTATCTGGGGAAAAAAGCTGAAAGAGAGAAAGATTTTTTTTTTATCTCCGCGCTTCCAATTGGTAAATCATTTGTAAAAAAAACAAAAACAAAATGGAACCCCCATGTGTGGACGAAGCAATCGTCGAGATTTGTGGAAACCTTTTCCTTGTACGAAATTTGACTGCTTTTGGCCAGCTCGTAAATACTGTGTTGTGTGTCGCACGTGACTTAGGCAATGTTGAACAAACAAAGAATTGCTCTTCGGTGGCCTGCTTTGCTCCCAGGAATGAATTTTGCCGGGCCCCAACTCCGAGGTCTGTGTCTGCTTTGAGAAACGAGCGCCGCTCTCTTCGCAGCCACGTTGCCGGTCGTACGATGAAAGCTCACAAAGTAGAGATTCAAATCTGGTCCTGACAAATTGGAATGTGTTTTGCGTGAAGTCGTGCGGCTCCCAAAAGGAACCTCGCGGAGTCGCCGAACAACGAATGACATCACGTGACAGTCCAACGAGCAACGTTGGCCAAGTGACGACTTGACAAAAGTCGCTGTTGCCTTTGCGTCCGGCAGGTGCGCTGGCAGCTGCAGAGCTGCGTGAGTCGCCAGCAGGAGGCGCTGCGCTGCAGGGAGTTGTGGCTGCTGGGCCAGATCGAGCTGCTGGAACACGTCAAGGCGGAAACTCTGCAGCAGCAGTTACATCAACTCCATCGGGTGGGTGCCCGACGCCCCTCGCCCGCCGCCCGTCTCTAAAAGCCGCCTCAAAACTCACTCGTAGTCTTTGGCATTTGACTCCGATTTGATCTGAGTGTTCATGTTTGGCGCCTTCTCCCATCTTTGTTACTGATTGATGCTTTGTTGTTGTATATATATGTTAGTCGCTCCGTGTACAGCGCTTAGTCCGCAGCGATGGCTGTTTGAAAGCGCTCGACAAATACACTCGAGTTGAGAAGTCATTCCGACACGCGCGCCGGAGTCAGTCGCCGGCGGACGCCCCGATCGGCTTGGAGGCAAAATCTCTGACTCCCGGTTTTGTCGTCCGGAAACACGAAGCGCAATCGAGGCGATTGTCGAGAAAGAAGCGGACGCTGTAGCTTGAGCGTCACCATTGAAAGAAAGCAGGTGGCAAACGCGGGAGCAACCGTAGTTTGACTATTTTTGTCATTTTGTGTTTTTCAAAACAAAAAACGCACCGATCGCGATGCCGCATTGATGAGCGGTATCGTCAAGAGCGGGATCGTTAAAATGTCAATCGATAGTCGTGCCTGGAAGGCGCCCGGCCCGGGAGCAGCGTCAGCAAGTTTTGTCTTTTGAGAGGCCGCGACGCGACTTGGGCCTCGTCGGGATCGCGTTGGGCCGCAATTTGAGATTTCGCCAAAACGTTTCTGTTTGGCTCCCGTTGGGCCGCGCGGCGGCCACAAACGGACGCCCTTTCGTCTCGTGCGCTTTTCATACTTGCGTGTTGTGTTGATGCTTGGCACGTGGCAATGCGCTCTTGTCTCTCGAACGTCTTTCAGATGCACGGGCAGCTGGACGCCCTCTCGCAGCGGCTGCAGAGTGCCGACGGCGGCGGCGGCGGCTGCAGCGACCTCAGCAACCAACTGACCAGCTGCATGGACAAGTAAGAAAGTTAGGCCTTGACACGTCGCGGCTTTGCGGCAGTCGCCGCGCAACATTTGGAGTGGCCTTCGCTGAGGGGAACCGGCCCGCCCGCTTCCTTGCGGCCGGACTCTCTTTGAATGCGCCGACGTGACACTCGGCATTTCAAGCGTGACGGGTGTTGCTCTGCAAAAGAAAAGGCGAGCCGCGCTCGGTTGGCCCTCTTTCGTATGCGTTTTGTTTGTTTTCCCAGCGGTGGTCAGAAGCTAACCGCCGAACAAGCGCACCACCGGCGCTCGTCGTCCGGCTGTGGTCTTCGGCTACCCGTTCTTTGGCCTCCGTCCCGTCAATGGGCGACGCGGGCGTGGCGCTTCATGCGTGTGCACGTGTCTCTGTCTCCCCAGGTTGTCTTCCCTGAGCCTGCTGCCGGAGGAAACGCCCGAAATGACTTTCACTGCCGACGCGCGCTCCCTGAGGGAAGCCATCACCTCGTTTGGCAGCATCACCGCCCAGGTCTCGCACGCGGGCGACTGGCCTAACCGGTCTAGACAGTTCTCGGTGGCTTGTAAAGCCTGTCCACCCAAATGCACACCGTCAAAATTGCAGAGTAGAAACGGCGTGGCCCGTGCGTTATCGCCGCTTGTCGTGACAAGAATGGAAGCGCCCACCTGTGGTGCAAATCACCTCGAGACCGCGAGCGCGGAACAACCCGAGGAAGCCTTGCGCGATGACCTTTTGCGCTCGTGTGTGCAGGAAGTCCAGAGCGGGGCCCTGGTGGACTGGCTGCCGGAAGGGGGTCCGAGACTCGGAATTGAAGCCGGCGAAAACAAAGTAGGGCGGACTGCGATGCTTTGTGATCCTTGTCGCTCGTGCAACTCTTGAATGTCCCGCGCCGCCCTCGCGCAGGCCCCCCGTCCCGGCCCGGCATCGGCGGATTTTCTCAAGGCCTGGGGTCAGCTGCGAGACCTGGAGGCGTGGCTGCTCCAGGACCAGAAGGCCGCCGCCGCCGGCAGGCAGCGCAGCCAAAGCGAGGCTTGGTCCGCCTCCTCGGCCTCCTCCTCCTCCATCGAAAAGATGGACGAGTCCGACTTGTGCGCCGGCCCGCGGGACGACGACCTGAGCAAATGGCTCGCGGCCCCGCCCGCCGCCCGCCCCCAAGCCAACGGCGAGCGTCGGGGCTTGCTCTTGGAGCCGTTTTCCGAGCGCCGGCCTTGGGAAGACTGGCTGGCGGGCCCCGGCTGTTCCTCCTGCCGCCGCCAGAGCGCCCCGGCGCTGGAGATCGAAAACCTGGGCCGGCTCAAGTGCCTCAAGACCCCGCCGGCTTGGACCGCGCCCCCCGCCGCGTCCGGCCTGGAGGCGTGGCTTCAACGGGCGCTGCCGCTGCCGCAGACGTGTCGCGCCAACGAACCGTGCTCCAGCTACTCCGAGTGCGTCTGCGACGAGAACTGCGGCAGAGAAGCTCTCAACGCTTGGCTGCTGCAGCACGGCGCCCGAGACAAGAACGGGGTCCCCGTTTCCCCCGGCGGCGACGTCCTGGCTGCTGCAAAGAATTTCCCCCCTCCTCTGCAGCACAGACAGCAAGAACAGAAGGTAATGACCTTCATAAGGACTTGGTTCTCTTCGCCTACGCCTCCAAATTGTCACATTTTCTGTGGTGCTGCTGCTGCAAAAAAAGGGGGGGTGGAGCTCTCCCATCAGTGGCCGTTAAGCAAGCCCGCCATACCGACCGAAGCTCATCGTGGCGATTGCTCGTGCATTTCGGGTTTCAACTACGAACGGAGCCCGTGAAAAGCATCGGTGTCAAAGTGAACTGCTGCATGGTTTGGAGACCTTGTTTGAGGCTCATTCCATTCCGAGTCACCCCCGAAAAGTTAACCCGAGCGGGTTTTGATTTGAATGAAACTTTGCGAACTTGTTGATCACAATGGCAAAAGCACTAAACCTTCACTTTTGGGTGAATCGGAGCAGGGGTTTGGGAGCTACGGCGTGCCCGATTTGGCAAAAAGGGGCGTGGCCCCCTTCCTGTGAAGCCTTCCATCGAATCATTACTCTAGCGACAGCCCTAAATTCAATGGATTGTCTTCTTGGCGCCAGGCGGTCGAAAATGACTCCTCTCGAACAAGCGTCCGGCTGACGGTGGTAGTGGGTGTGGTCTCCACAGGTTCAGGCCATCCTGGAGGCGTGGCTTCACCCTTCCGACCCTCCGTCGTCACCCTGCGGCGGCCTCTCCAACTCCTTTTTCCGGAGGCCTTTAGATGCGCAGTCGTGGATGCTTCCGGAAAAGTGGACAGCGCCTCAGCGGGACGACAAAGGGCCGCTGCGGAAGAAGTGTCAGGTAGCAGAAATCGCCACCTGCGCGAGCCAACTCGGGTGATGTGATGTGACGTCACGCGTGTGTCGATTCGCCGCAGGAACGCGTGACCCTGCCCTCCGTCGATGACTCGTTCTGCAGCGCAAAAGTGGGCGGTGACCCAGAGAAATGGCTTCACCAGCCGCCTCCTGTTCAGGTGAGTTTCATCAAACGCGATGACATCATCAAAGATCGCCCCTTGGGAGCCATCATCCGCAAGAAGGCACAAAAGTAAATAACCCGCGCCGACAGTTGACAACGGTTCGGAGCCCGACGGGCCCTCTGCGAAAACTTTTGGGCGCGCGGTGGCCCAAATCAGCAGCCCGTGCTGGAACTCTTTCCATCGGGCCGGCCTGACACGTTGGCGCACCGCGTGCCCAGCCGGCATGCCGAGCGCACGCACCGCCACTTCGTTCTTGGTGCATTGTGGATAACCAAACGCATTTGAACAACACGCAGAGTTGCCAAACCGGCGCCCGTTCTGCGGCTATTTCCAAACGGGCCCTTTGTCCCCAAATCACGCACAGCTAGCTGGTGTGACTTGTTAGCATTGATCCTAAGCTTGCCGTTGCTTCGTTTTCTTCCAGGTTTGAGGAGGAGGATGATGATGTTGGCGGCCTTCTTCGCCTTAAATCCTGTGACGCCGTTTGATTGCAAACAGGAAGTCAATTGAATGAGCTCCCAGTCAACAAGTAGTAACTCTGCCAGGCTGACTTATCCAAACTGAAATATTTTTGATGAAACATTTATTTTTGCATTTGCATTGGGCGTTTGTTCGAATACTTTCCATCCAGGATCATTTTGACACGATGAAATTGACTTTTACGCTGACAAATATTTTATTGTAAATTCAACACATAATTTTCAACTCACCCGGGATGACTTAATGCTTATTTTATTGGTGTGTGTGCACGTGCGTGCGCTTGTGTGATTGGCCCTAAACCGAATAAAACACGGAGAAGCGTTTTGGAGACTGGATGGAGGTCCTTGGTCGTGTGCTTCTTGTTTGCCTTTGTCGTTCATGAAAGTAGCGCCGCTCACGTTGAATGTGTGAAATTTGAGGCACGCGATCGTCGACGTTCACAAAAACATGCAAGTCACGTTGCAGGACTCAAAACGCGCTTGTGTGAATTTGCGTTTTGACCCGCTCAAAAGACCCCAATGTAAACATGAACTTTGCGCGTCTGTTCATGTTGCTGAAATTTCCTTCCAGCAACTTCAAAACGGACTCAGTGGTTTGCGTGGCTCCCACGTGCTCGTCTCGTCATGAGACGACGGATGTTGTCCTCCCAGATGTGGAGCAGGGCATCACTGAGCTCCTGGGCGGTCGGAGGTGCAATTTGGCAGCGGCGGAGGATGGACCGGAACCTCATACCGCACAGGCGGTCTACGTGATTGAGGTCAGGTGACCTTGGGGCCCGGTCATTAGTACCAGTTCCTTCCTCCCGGAGGTACTGCCCGCACAACCCTGCCGCGTGAGGGTTGTGGGCTTCCGGCAATGCCGATCCTGTTCCTCCTCTGCACAAAGCAGTGCCGTCCTCAAGCCACTTGTGTAGGGTCCAGCTACCGCCTCATGCTACCGGCGGTGACGGTGACCCTGGCCAAATACAAAACTAGTGGAAAAGATGAGGGGAAAAAAAAACGTCAGTGGCCTCGACCTGTAAAACTATTCCTGTTTTGGAGGTCATGTTGTTGCCTCTCAGGCACACCTACTTGTCTGTCTGCTTCACAGGACGCTTCGAATGGCAGCAGAATGATGCACAGCCGCTCCGGTGTTCTCTAAAAACGCCGCGGCGACTAGTCAAGCATTGCCATTGATGGCAACGCGATTGCACCCGCCAACATGGCCGCCACGTCGCTTTAGACCAGCAA